ACCACCACCACCACCACCACCACCACCATCACCACCATCACCACTGCATCCACCAACCTAACTGATTTGTCCCGCCAGCTTAGCTGACGGCTTTGGTTTGGGTTGGTTTGGTTTGCTGGGTCCGGTTAAATACCGGATGGAATGGGTTGGGATGGGATGTGGATGGGATGAGTTGAGATGAGATGATTATATGGATTTTATTGGGTGGATGGATGGATGGATGGATGGATAGGGAGGATGGATAGGTAACCTAGCTAACTAAACTACAAGTCGCACCGTAGGTATTACATACCACCTCGACGAGGGAAAAACAAAACAAAGCCGCTGAAAACCGATTTTTCTGTTCTGTTCTGATGCTCGGAAACTGTCTGTGTGTGTGTGTGTGTGTGTGTGTGTGTGTGTGTGTGTGTCTGTCTAGGTACCTTACTAGGTAGGGTACATAGGTATTTACCAAAGAGTATATGTATATGTGCATATGTACAAGTATACCGAGTATATGTACGGTGACCAAGGTTAGCTAGGTGGGTTGATCATCGTGGCCATTATTAAATTAGATACCAAGAACCCACGTCAATACCAATACCAACACTCAATAATACACAGCCGTCCCTTATAACCTCCTGTCTCCCTCTTCAGCTCCTCAGGAAGTCGCTCTGACAGGACAATCATATGGTGTCAAATCATCCCCGTCCGAGGCGGGTGGGTGGTAGTGGTAGTAGTGGCTTCTTCGAAGTAAATGTGAACTCGTTCCAGAATATCCAAGTGCTCGTGCATCGCATATGACAGACATCGACATCTCGTCTTCGTTGACGAAGGGAACTGCGGTCAAGAGTACCACCAGATGTATTGCCACCACCACCGTCTTCCATCCTGCGATGACAGAAATCCATTTGTAAAAGAGCTGTGCTGTAGTCGTACTTCTCTGGCGGCTGCCCCAAGCCGTATCTTTCAATGACCCAAGCCGGCTCGCGTCCGAGTCAATTTCTCCTTTCCCATCTCCTGCTGTAATGTTTTCATCCGCAAACTGATATGTTTGGCCGGTGTTGAAGAATGAAGTCGGCGTCAAGCATAACCGCATCCTGAATAGCTTCCAGATATTGCGGCCCTTCAATGTTCCCGACAGCATACGGAGAGCGAAGATATCCCTTGAAGATAGACCCACAGGACTTTCTGTTGTGCCAGGACCAGACGGAGCGAGAATTCTCTTGCTCTCCCGAGCCCATTCACAATGCGTGGAGTGAACAGATCAAACCCTGCATCACGGTAGGCATCGACAGGTCGGTCCCAGAGGTCCCAGTTTCCGGCATAAATTTGAATTTGGGACAGTATATATGTCGATGAAATGATAGTCGGCATCATGCCATCTCTTGTCTCCACGATACATTCCACAGGTTCATCAAACCCACGGCGCGCTGCAAGCATAGGCTGCATACCTGTGTCAGGGCACTCCTAAACCTTTTGAAAAGACGCCATCAATCCCCTCTGCCATTGTTTGCTCAGGTTCTTGGTCGCATAATAGAAACTCGTTGACCGCCAACGGGTCATTGCTGCTGACGGACAAGAAGGAATCCATATTTGCTTGTGCGACAGGAGGCGTTGCTGGAATTTGTCGGGAGAGCATTCTCATTAATGACTGGTGTTCTCTCTCGACCTTCTTATATTTTTCATCCAAGTGGTTGTAGTTAGCTTGCAGGGCAAAAAACCTCTTCTCAAGCTGGGCCACGTAACGTTTCTGCCGTTCACGATGTGCCCGCTGAGCCGCACGATTTTGGGCACGACGACGCTGTGAGATTTCAAGTCAGCGCGACGAGCCTTGATTCTGTTATCTCTGACGCACCTCCCCAGGAATGTCAATGACGACTTCGGTCATAGGAGAACTGGTATCTGATATGACCTTTGTCCGTGCCCCAGTAGCCGGTGGTGACGTTCCTTCGGCTTCAAGCATTCCACAGAACGAAACAGAACTTGTGTAATCGTCTTTGGAGCTATTTGATTCAGACTTGACAAAGCGCCATGTTAGTAGGCATCCCCAGACTCAACGGAACTGGGACAGTATACCACGTTGAACAGGAACTTATCCACCACTTCGGTGTCAAACAGGTCGTAATTTTCATCTAATAATGATTGACCACTTCTTGATGCCAGACGCTTGGCGTGACCAGAATCAGAGCTTTGTGGGTTTGGGAGATGGACCGCTGGGGTATGGTCCCATTCAAAAGGGGATCCCGTCCACGTGTGATAAGGGCTGGTTTCAAAGAGACCTTGCGAGTTCATGTTGTCAATGGCTCACAGTTGAGGTTTGCAGATGAAGAGTAGTAGGATCTCCGTTGCTATATCATGTATGTGGTCGATGGTGCAATGGAAGGCTCACGAATGAATATACTTGAGACTCGAATCAGACGGTTCCTCGTAACCGAAGTGGGCAATGGCCAATCCCAGGGTCAATCCCGCTCGCTTGGTTGATAACCCTTTGACACATCGTCTCTCCCATTCCTTTGGTGGGGCAAACCATCGTATACCCGGGCTGCTGAGGAGTCGATAGAGACGAGGAATGGCAAGTAGTGCTGACAGATGAATTTCGTAAGGATCTTCCCCGGGCAACAGTAGCCTGCAGATGCCATCGAGTCCGAGCGAGCTCCGGGACAATGACGACACTTGGGGTCCATTGTAAGAGTCCATATCGCTCTAGGGAGGTGGTGAATAACCCCATCCGAGTCAGTGGAACGGTGCAGCCAAACGCCATGGTCCCTGGGAAACGGCGGCCGGTGGAGATCCTCAGAGATGCTTTTTGGATCCCATGGCCTTGTTGGGTTCGAGGTAAAGCCCTAACCTCCACGTACCGACGACACAGAACTCCCTGCAGTCCCTTAGTCATATGAGTAGTCATACCTGTGGACCAACCATCACTGGCTCACACGCCTCGCTTGCGGCTTTTGGTGCTGCACACCTACCTGAATGGAACGAGGCTGCAAACCCAATTCGACGAAGGTCCAATCTAGCGCATCCTCGGAACAGACCTTACCTGAAGAAGAAGGTAAACCTTTCCAATTTTCGGGGAGCGAAGGCTTCTAGAACCTTTCTCAATCCTCCAGGCAATGTCGGCTTCACCCCACCGCGTAAGCTTGATATTCCATCTCGTTGGTCTGCCGGCATACTCGTAATACTCAGCGATTCGGCATCAGATCCCGCGACTTACCATCCGTCCAATCGCTGCTGTTCCCGCGTTTCCCGTACTCGGACCAGCACTAGGCAAGTCGTGGACAGAAAGATATTCCCTTTTGAAGGAGTTTCGAGCGATACAACGAGACCTTCCCACGTCCCTCGGCTCTAGTATCAAAGGAATTGCAGCAAGACGATGGTCGATTGTTGTGTGCGCAGATTGCACAGGCTGACAGGCTAGACCCGATGCAGATATAGATTCTGACGAATAGCAAAGGGAAGCTTGAAAACTATATGCGGGTCCCGTCTAAAGCCTGTCGAGATATCAGGAAGGTCCATGGTTGCAATAGGAATGGGTTGACAAGTTCTCCTGGTGGCAGAAGGCCCAGGATCAAACAGTCATACCAGGACTTCCGTATAAGTTGACGATCAAGGTGCCGTTAGCCGAATGGAACCCTCGATGACCCTCTGCAAGGTCGTCATGAACCACAGTGAGAGCGACGTCGATATAGCGAGGTAGGCTTTATGATGTGGTCGAATAGCACAGTTAATGAAATGCGGCTGTTTCGAACCTATGCCTCGATTTGTCGCCGACTCTTTGAATGCCTTGCATGTCTCCTGTAGTGTTTTTCATGAGTGTAGTGTCGGCAAGCATGGTTACACGAATGCGTCTCTTAGATCGTCACAACTGCATCCGAGCAGGATCGTCAACCCCTTATGGAAACGAGCAGTGAAAGCGTTGAAATGTCATCAGCACGCTGTTGGACAATGTTGAACGCCTGCGACTCCCCGAAACTCCCCGAAATTATGCCAAAGAGGCATTCTAGCATCTGGGAATGCCCTCAAGTAATTGACATTGAACCGAGTGCTTCGGGCGAGAGGGGTCAAATGAATGAGGTAGTGGTAGCACAGCCTTACGGGGGCACAGCTTTCTAGAGAGGTCTCAATATCTGTTCAGTGCGTCGACAAATCACCTTCAAACTAGGGCGCGTTTTCGAACACCCGCATCAGTCTCGAACGGGTTTGCGATGCCCTTTGCATGAGGCTAGGTCCGTTGCGGGAGCTTTGAGCAGGGGTGGAGGCAATATCCAGAGGTACTTTGTCAAGTCGACGTGCTGCATCATGCAAAAGGACATCATCAGTAACATTCATCACTCTGGGGTAGTATTTTAGACCTCCACTCTGGCCTTCACATGGAGACATATCTTATCGTCCCAGAAAGGTGCTCCTCAATCAACCCGGCATGGCCGACGAAATCGGTCAGCCATGTCAGGCAAGGTGCATCCTCATGGCTGAGAGGGGAAGGTGAGATGACCGTGGCCACAGGACCTGGTTCTGCGGCGACTTCAGCCAGGCCAGAGGGTACAGATATTGAGCCGGGGTGTGCGAAGCGTAGTCTCATTCTGGTATCGTTTGCGCTCAAGGTGGTGATGTGTTTCTCGGTACTTCACTGCAACCGTCGCAGGGCTCGTATCGAATCGGTACCTGTGACGTAGCGTTGAAGGGATAATGAAGCCTATGTGGGCCATGATAGACGAATTTTCCGAACGAGGGCATTGGCGGCGGAAGACATCGCCGTAGTGCGCCGTGCTGGTGTTGGTGGTGGGACAAGTGCTAACAATCGTTAGCAAACGTCCTCGTCTTGCGCACTTTCCCAAATTGGCTAGACCTACAAGAATCGTGTGAAGCCTCATCACGTGATGACGAGGCTGTGAATTTCGATGTCGAGGCCTTGGAAACAACTACAGTGAGGAACAACAAATCGAACGCATCAAAGCAGAACTGAATGACTGCAGACTTGCAGATTGATATACAAGTGCCGATCCACCCCGGCTCCTCTTTCTGTATCTTCGTTCCCGACCAATTTTTGCTTGCATTCGATTATTACCCTGCTTCGACTCCCCTACCCTTTGCCTGTACCACCATCATTGTTTCCCCGACCTTCCTTCACTCTCCCGGATTCCCGTGCAGAGATCTAGCATAATGTGATTATTTCATTCTCGGTCCCATCGTGTTCGTGCCTGAAAACTGTATCTTCCCAATTTTATGCAATACAAAAATTCCTGTCCAATCAACTTGAATCGGAGAGCCACAAAGAGCCTCGAATCTGCACTCCAATCCCTGTCTTCGAGAATGTGCAGTGCCATGGGGGGCACAGTGTGCAATAAAAGAAAAAAAGGAAAAAGCGGAGCCTTACTCCTCTTTGCAATGCTGTATGTACTAGAAAGGGGCACAAAAGTCGAATGTTGCAACATTTCCATTCAACCTTGTGTCGTCCACCAAACTCATCTCAATGCTTTTTTACCGAGGTCAAGGGCCATCGTATGCCCATGAGTCATCATGTTTTGCGGACGCCGATCATTAAGGTATATGCGAAACAGGGTAACAATCAACGATATATGTGAGCTTGTGTGGCCGAGTCGAGTCCTCGTCACGTTCTTCGCCGTAGTGTAACAAATCGTCAGTCCGGGTGAACCTGCACAAATTCTGCTGGAAGATTCTTTCAACGGATGCTCAGCATCTGCCGAGGCGCGAAGCTGCTTGTGCTACTGTGAGCTGACGGTTCTGAGTCAATGTTGGCACTTCCACTATCCCCGCTGCCTGCGCTAGCACTGGCACTTCCAGTCAGACTTTTCACAGGTGCTTTTGGTGGTGGGAATGGTTTGCTCACCCCGGCCTGTTCAATTTGATGTGGAGGGATCATGCCGCCCTGACCAGGAGGGTATCTGGGTACTGGTGCAGGCATGCCTCCTGGTGGAGACGGTCGGCCGTTGCGCTGTCCGGGTTGCATATAAGGGTCATTAGGGGGCGAGGGCCGATTAGGCCCTCGCCCAGGTGGACTGAATGGATTTCCTGGTGATCGACTTGTCCGTCTACTAGGCGGACCCGGGTACGGACCCCCATTTGCGCCAAGGTCCTGGAGCCGACTTGCCGTCAGGGAATTTGCACGTGATTCATCTGCCATTTCCTTGCGGTCCACTGAACCGTACCGGTTGGACGAGAAGCCCATCATCGGATTGTCCAAGATGTTCTCTCCGAGCATAGGCATATCGGACAGGAGTTGGGTGCTGGTCCGATGCCTGCTGAGCATAGGCCGGCCGAAAGATCCAGGACGCATGTTGTTCCCATTTGCAAAGACATCTTTGCGCAACTGATTCTGACTGGTCGCCCTTTTCGTCCGCCTCGATGTGACACTCATCATATCAAAATTGTCCGGGTCGATTGGAGGCATTGGGGGACCGCGTGCCTGCATTGGGTCGAAATAGTCGTCATCATCGTCGTCATCGTCAAAGTCTTGGTGGCGATTGTGCGAGGTTCTTCGGCCCGGGCGATTTCGCATCGCCATCTCTTGTTGTTTGAGGTGCAGCTCCTTCTCCCGCAGCATCAATTCTCGTTCACGCAATGATGCTGCGGCGTTGGGCCCTCCATTGTCGGGGAAGTTAGCGGCAACGTCGCCATCGGGTAGATCGTCATAAAGCACAACGTGACTAAACTCATCCAGGTTCGTCTCATCATAAGAGGGCCGTCGCTGCATTTGACTTGGTCCCCGTGGTGGGTAACTGTTTGGCGGTCCACGGAAGCCGTTCACAGGAGGAGGACCGCGTCGACCCTGCGGTCCCATCGGCGGTCCCATGGGTGGTCCCATGTTAGGACCGCGCATCGGCCGGGGCGCTCCGTTAAGCGGTTGGTTTGGTTGTCGAGGACCAGCATTTGCGAGAGACATCGTTCTAGGAGGCGGTTGCATCACGGAAGGCGATTGTGGCAACGAAGCAGAGGCGAAAGGACGGTCCTTATTGACAGTGTTGACGTGGCGTAGCATCGTGTACAAAGTCTCCAGGCGGGGAACCTTGATACCTGCTTTTTTGGCCAATTCCACAGGAGAACCTAAATAGGTTTCTACCTCCATTGGACGCCGGGCAGTGAAGTCCTGGTACATGGTACATGGATCCTGACTTGACCCGACCATGGACTCGATTGTAGATTCCTTAAAGTTGCTCGGAAATTTGCAGTCCTGGGAATGAGCGATGTTTAACAATTCGTCCATAACATCGTATATCAAATCATGGACACCAGGCAACCGGATGAGCTCCGAGAAGAGAGGCTTCTCGAACAGT